GACGCCGATCTCATACCTCGTTCTCCTCCACGATCCTTCCTTGAGCACATTGTAGTCTTTATCAGAGACCAGTCTCTTCTCTTCTCTTCTTTCCATGAGACTTGACTACCCAAACATATCTATTAGAACCTTCTTCTCCGCGCTTGCTGAACATTTTTAGCAATACTAGTTTGGAAAAGCTTGAAACTTTCTTCTATTTTCTAATTATACTTTAATAAATAGCAAAGCATAAAATCAGGTAATTAATTTTGCTCCCTGTTTTCCTTTTACTGACGCCTCTTGTAAGTTTTTAATATAATGAAGATTAAAATTTCATAGTTCTAACAAATCAAGGTTTCTTCTAATCTTGAAAAGCTCATTAATGGATCTAATGGAAGAACAGAAAGCATCAGGACAGCTACCAGAAGCTTCAAAATGCTTCTAGAAAATCAGAACTTCTTCTTGAACCATGAGGACTGCTACTAAAATCTTCGAAACTGCTGCCAGAAGCACCAGGACTGCAGCCAACTGCTTGATTACAACTATTACAAGTAATAGGGCTTCTACTAGACGCTCAAGAAGGACAGCTGCTAGAAGCTTTAAAACTGCTACCAATAGCTTTAAGACTGCTGCTTTAGTTTCAAATTAAACTTGTTTGGAGCTTTAAGTATCAAAATTTCAGGCATTACCTAGGAAGCAAGGCAGTTGGCCTTGGGCTTTCAAACTTTGTTACAGCATGTTTTACTATTATTTAGGAAAATACTTAAAATTTTAGGATTCTAACATTTATCATTCAGAGGTTATTGCATCAAAACAAACCCTATTTAATATTATGCGCAGTGCGCACATTGTCATTCTTATATCTGCACATACATTGATTTTCATACTTCATTTTGTGTGCCTATTAGAAGCACATTCATGTTTTATTCACATTTTTTTTAGCTAATCCGGAGTATCTAGATGCAAACTTTGATTTTTAAATTACAACAAGAATTTTGGTTGGTTTTCGAAGCCTTGAGACCTAAGCTTCTGGAACTAAAATCTAAGGTGACGAGCTGAAAACTCGGAAAATTTCAATAAGAAATTATTTTTAATCGCACTTATCAGTCATAAAAAGACAAAACATGAAAAAACTTGTTTTATAAAGTTTTAGAAATAAACCCTTTGAGCAACATTGCTGTCATACATGACAACTTTTGTGCTGTCTAATTTGGAGCTGTAAGTCATTGAATGAAGTAAACCTTAGTTTTATTATAATTACGCACATCAAATGTATTATTATGGAAATGCACTTTACTCTATATATATTTCTACATGTATGTTGGTACACCCTGTATCCTGGACTTGGTATTTATATTTAAGTACACCCTGTACCATGGACTAGATATATATATTGGTACACCCTGTATCCTGGACTAGGTATATATATTATATGTAACAGTATAAATATTGATCTTGACTCCAGGTATAATGTTTGACTGCAGTATCCCCGGGGTGTAAATACTATGTATTGAGTAGGTTTAAATCTACTCAACTTATGGTTCTTTATAACCCACCCAAGTCGGATTTTCGACCAGGGTTTGTTTTCTAACAATAAACAAGAAGTTTCGATATCCCTAAAAGAGAAAAAAAACATTACCCCCCCCTCCCTCCGCCAAGGCCGTTTAGAAAATTCGTTAAAGGAATGGTATCGATGTAAATTAATGTGAAGTGGAAATTATTAGACATTTAACTAAAAACTAAAACTGAAACTAAAACTAAAAAAGATCAAACAAGCTTTATTGACATCACCTCCAAATTGACGTTTTGGGATTTAGAAAAAAATCAAACTTAAGTTATTTAAATAAAATGAAAACTATGCCTTTTACACAAAATGTTAATGTTTAGTTCATGAACTAGTCTCAGGAATTCTGTTCCACTTATTAATACTAAACAATTTACAATTTTATCCCCTTCAAAAGAACTGAATTTTTGCCATAAACTCAAATGTTCTTATCTCTCTATATCCTTGCGATCGATATGATGATTTAAACCTTTAACCCTATTCCTGCTGGGTGAGGGGGGGGGTCAAGTTGACCCCCCCCCCTGTATTTTTTTTTACAGAACTCAAAAAGTATTGGTCTAACTTTTGTTGATCCACTTTTAGTTGTCAGTTGTTGATAATTTTTAGCTTTTGGAAAACCTAGGACATAAAGAAAAAGATTGCACAAGGTTTGCTAAAAATGTCAATTTTGCAAATTTACAATATTTTTTACAGCATCTAAAACTGGAGCGCTCGAATGATGTATCATTTGTCATCATTGGACATCAAATCTGGGATTTAAAGGGGGGGGGGGGAAAAACCCCCCCCCCAGCGTAACCTGGTTTTCAAGTACCCCTGCAGGAATAGGGTAAATATTTAAGATTATTTGATTTAGCAGAATTCATACTTTGAAACGTTGCAAATCTTTTAGGGTTAGAAAATTATCTGAAGAACTTGATTCCTTTTCTTTAATAAAATTTTGCTAAAATTTTAAGAAGTGTTGTTAAATTAAACATTTATTAGGAAACAATTGAAACATATTTTAATCCTTTCCGTTTTTGTGGAGCCTCCAGAAAGCTTAGGGTCTGTGACTGAATTTATAGAAATCCATTGAACAAACTTTTAAAGAAAGGAATTGAGTCTTTGCCACAAACTCAAATTTTCTAATCAGTATATCTTCGCAAACTGAGGATGGAAACCTTTGATATTTCAGATTTAAATATTTATTTGATCTTACAGAATTCATATTTTGAAATATTTAAGGTCTATGCCATCGGGTTGCAAGGATATAGGGATTAGAAAATTTGAGTTTGTGGCAAAAACTCAATTCCTTTGTTCTCCGTCACAAACAAAAATTTTCCAATCCCAATAATAATTGATACCTGCAGGTGTAAACCCTGATATTTCAAATTTGGATGATTATATTAAACAGAATTTGAAATATTTTTGGTCTACGAAATTGGGTTGCAAAGAAAAAATAATTATTTGAAATATCTTAGGTTCACGAAATTGAGTTGCAAAGATATAGGGATTAGTGCGGTGACAAAGACTCGATTATTTTAGATTTAAATCCTTAAAAGTTGTCCGTCCTGGAAATGAATCATTTTAGCTAGGGTGGGTGTTTGTTTGTGTTTCCAATAAACGTCAAAGCGGCGGAACCGATTAGACCCAAAAGTTTTGTTGCAGCTTACATGACCCCATTGAAGATTTTTGAACAGTATATGACCTTTATTATTTCTAAAAATCCACAAATTTAAACTAAATATCCTCAAAAATTGGTTTTTGTAAATATCAATCAAAATGGCAACTTGAAAAGCAACAGTATAAAGCAAAAACTGTCAATTATAGAAAAATGGTTGAGAAGCGAAACTTCAACATAAAATCTACAAAAATAAAATGCTCAATATTGCAATGTATTGTGAGAATACTATCGAATGTCTCAGCATAAGCACAAATCGGTACATGTGATAAGAAGAGTATTTACGTCTAACTAATAAAGAGCGTAAGAGGGGGGACGAGGGGGGGGCGGGTAGTTAGAAATATTCAAAAATGTGTGTTTCAACAAAACTAACTTACACAACGTTCTGCATGACTTTTCACATGAGGGAAAATTAAAATTCGCATTTTCCAATTATGTCCAGTTTTTTTTCTGTGTGCTTGGTGTTCGAATTTAACTGTAACTTCTACGTTCTACTCTCCGCTTCCACGATATTATAAAATCTAGTTGAAAACAGTTTTACACGTGTACACTTAAGATATTTGACTCGTTTCCATGAATGTCTAAAATGCATAACCCTGAAAAGGTTGGGAAAGGAAGGGGGGGGGGGGGGTATATTTTTTTGAAAATAAGTTTTCCCCAGAAGTTAGAGATGTTTGCAGTTTATACAGGGGGCAAAATTGAATTTGTTTTTTTACTGAATCGGGGGAAATATCTGACTTGAAGGGTCAATAACTAAATTTGTTAGTGAAAGTTAACAAAAGAGATGAAAAAGCTTTCAACGGTTTAGGTTTATACACATTATTTCATGTTCCCTCTCCCCACCCACTTCCACCGAAAATAAAATATAAAAAACCAGGAGGAATAGGATTAAAATTCATTTTAATATTGCTTTTGTATATTCTAAAGTAACATATATCCGATTTCAGTAAATCCCTTCGACTTTCCTTTATATTAAATTTGAAAAAATCTACAATTTTCTTAAAACTTTAATAAATATAAAATATTTCTCCGCTAAAAATTTCAGTTTTTGATAAGATTACATTTTTTCTAAAATCTGAGAAATTATGAAAAAAAGTAATTTTGCTAACTTTACTATTTTTAAGCAGTTTAGCACAAAGTTAAACTTGCAACTTAACCTTGTCATCCAACTACAAGGTGTTTCATAAACACAACAGTCGATCGAGAGACATCTTAAGGTCGTCTTTTATTTTTAAAATAATTTGCAGCATTTGTTCGTCAGCTACGTTTACTTTTGCAAATATGATTCTCAAATTAATAATTACAAAAATGTGGCCTCCCGCCTCCCTTTTAAAGGTTTCAAAATTACCAGAAAGGAATGCCGCAAATTATTTTTAAGTGTGGTCTCTCAGTTATCATGTTTCACGGGACACTCTGTAACACCTTGCTCGCTTTATTTATATTTACCATGAGACACATGCATGATAAATATGTGATATCGACATGTTTTTATTCATGTTGTTTCTTGTTTGCAAAACTAATCGAAATTCTGAATGCAAAAACATCTTTTAGAATTTAACAAAATGGCAATCTTTTAGTTTCCTTTTAATGATTTTATAATCGAGACTTCTTTCAACTGAAAACCTGAATAATAAAAACACACAAACTTCTTAATTCTGGGAATTTGGCATTTAGATTTTCCAGGCTTACTTTAAACTTGATCAGGCAAAACCTTCAATAGTACTCTACATAGGGGCATCTCATTGAATCATAGTACGCTTGGGTCTGACGCATACCCTACGCAGTAGATTGGAAGATTTAAGAAATAATTATAATTAAATAATGTAACAATTTTTAAAATAATACAGCTTTAATTTCATTTGGGTCTAATACTTTGTGAAGTATTAGCCCCCTGTTAAACAGCTACGCTGAACATCAAAATAATTCAGACGAGTTTTGAAAAATAATTCTAGTAGCTCATCAACCGCAACACTGAAAACATTAAATATATAAAAAACAAAATGGGTCAAATTAATAAAAATGTTTTCTTCGCACTGCTGGTAATCCTGGTTCTAGGTAGTGTATGTTTTTTTTCTTTAAAAGCAAATCATTAAATAAGAAAATTCCCAAACATTTGAAAAAAATGCGGGAAAATTATTTTTAAAAATTTTATTTAAATGGAGAAAGAAGATTTCCTCGGTTTGTATTGTGTAGCTTTTAATTTTGATAATTATTAATTCTCACATCTATGAAGGAAATCATATTTAAGATTTTACATTCTTATGTTTTCGTTTCATCATCGTTTTTTTAACATCATTATCTCGAATTCATTATTTTCTTAAGAATTATTTACATATTTCCTCAAATTTCTTCAAATGTCGTCTTTGCAATCAAATTCAAGGAAATCTATTGAATACGGTGTATACTTTGGCGTAAAACAATTAAGGTGCCCCGCGTAAAAATGTTATTAAAGATTACAAACAATATTTTTGAGAATGTTGCAGGAACCGAGAAGGCCTCTTCAAAGGAAAATCTGATTCTTGGAAAGTAAGTAATCATTTTTCAAAAACTAATATTTTAAATATCAATATTAGAAAACTATCCCAAGATAAAATTATGGTATACCTATGGCAAACACAACAATGTGATAGATAGTATCGCTTTTCTGCTTTAAAATTTGGTTAATCTGACAATTTCCTCCATTGTTTCTTATTCAAAAATACGCAAGTAATTTTAAAGAGAAACTACAATTAAAAAAATCCATTTTCAAAGAGAAGATTATGAATTCTTAATCAGATATAAATACGAATCAGACACGTCACTCTCTATCATTTTAGCGTCATTTGAAATATAAGCTACATTCCCTTTCAGTGTTCAACACTTTAATTCTTAATGGATAATTTCTAGGTTTAATTTGGACAGCAAGGATAACTTTAACAACTACTTGAAGGAGCTGGGGGTTGGATTTATCCTCAGGAATCTGGCAGGACTAGCAGATCCTGATGTTACAATTTCAAGGTATACAAACTAGGACTAGCAGATCCTGATGTTACAATTTCAAGATATACAAACTAGGACTAGCAGATCCTGATGTTACAATTTCAAGGTATACAAACTAGGACTAGCAGATCCTGATGTTACAATTTCAAGATATACAAACTAGGACTAGCAGATCCTGATGTTACAATTTCAAGGTATACAAACTAGGACTAGCAGATCCTGATGTTACAATTTCAAGATATACAAACTAGGACTAGCAGATCCTGATGTTACAATTTCAAGGTATACAAACTAGGACTAGCAGATCCTGATGTTACAATTTCAAGATATACAAACTAGGACTAGCAGNCTGTGTTCCTTCATTTTATACTGTTTCCCAGTTAGGGGAATTAAGGAATTTACCCATAACTGCACCCCATATGCAAAATGGGGAGTTGTGATCCCTGAAAGCTCTCTTGAGAGGTATCTTCCATGGTAGTCCAGTCCTCACATCTGGTCGAGTAAAAAACCGGTATCGTTGTGCATGGCTTGTATTCCCACGAGGGGTTAAACTCCTCTTTCAGTGAACCAAGCTGAAGATGAAGTTTTGTTTTAATCTATGTACAATTCTTGCTTCCCCTGTAGGATACTAGATGCGTAACTAAACACAGCGCTTCCCCAGCTGCAATTCTGGGACTGCATAGTAGGTCCGTTCTGCTAGAGAGAAAGCAGGCAACTGAAATATTGTATTTGTATGTACTTGTATTATAGGAATTGTGAGGATGGAAAAGACGAAGTATTGTCCAGCCCAAGTTGTACCTGGAATATACAAACAGATACTACCTTCAGATCTCATTCAGTCTCTTTCAAGTTGGACTCTAAGGTAAACCAGAGGCCGAATTTAAAGAATTTTAGCCGCGGTTGGTTCCACTTAAAACTGTATTCAATGTTTCAAGATTTAAGCCGACGCTCAATTGAAACCGGTTTTTAGCACGGCTCAAATTCATTAAATTCAGACTCAGCTTGCCAAATATATTTTTCTTTTATTTATATTGCAAAGAAATTGAAAACTTGCAACATAAAACTCTAAATATGATCGCTTTGATATTTCATAAATCAAACTTTAACTATTTTCTTGCAGAATGTTGTAGTTGAATTATATAAACTTAGTTAAACCACATCTCTTTAACTTGAATCGGTGCACAAGAGCAGGGCTTCAACTAAGGCTAATTTAGTTTAACTTGATATTCAAATGAATATTTTACATTTTGTTATTCAATCTTGGAAAACATGTCAACTAATGTGATAAAATTTCGTTTTCCTTCTTCTATTTGACACTTGTGACGTCATGTATCATTGGTCATTTCTCTGTTGCTACCTATTGTACTTGATAATCTATTTGTCTTTATCTGATTAGTCCTACGTACATTTTTCATGAATATTTAAGCAAGTGTTCCTTGTGTTCAGGTGAATGATAAGACTATGGATGGACGAGAAGTAACTTCTGTATATAAACTATTCAACGACAACACAATAAGTAAGATTTACATTTTTTTCAGAAAAAAAATTGAAATTCAAAATTTGTCAGAATAAATCTAGATATTACACTAATAAGTATTGATATATTTCGATCGAAACAATTACTTTTACATTATCCCATAGGAGACCATGGGCTATTTGTTCAAATCTGCCATAAATACTTACATTTTAACCAAAAAAGATTATTTGCATAGCCACCATTATTGCATAACTTTTTCTTTTAATTTTGACATGGTTTTTAATATATATATCTGGAAGGATCAGTGGAGATTTTATTTTTACAGATTTGTTTTTTTCAAAGAAAGATTAGATTTGCACTTAGTGAATTCGCTTTTAGAAATATTCATCTGAAAGGATCGTGGGGATTTTACAGATTTTTTTTTTTTTTCAAAGAATAGTTAGATTTGCACTTAGTTTTTTCATTTGAGAGTTAATGTACATTATACATCAAATATCAAATATTTACTTCTCACTAATAATTCGATTAAAGTACTTCACAAGAAATCATCAATTTAGAACCAACAACGCAAAAACAATCCATAATGTACTTAAGGTTCTAAAGTTGACTGTTATTCGCCATAAACCATAATTTTCTAATTTTTAAATCTTTACAGCCTGTAGACGTCCGTAAACCGTTAAAATTTTAAACTTTGGATATGTAATCTAGCAGAGCTTATTATCTGAATTATTAAAGGTCTACGGCATTAATTAGGGTTAAAAGGACCGTAAGCGCAATTTAAGCGACCCTCCATGCAAAGATGACAAAGCCCGATTTACAACTGTATCATTGATGGCCTTGTCTTAGCAAGTATGAATTATATATGACTTTTATAATTTTGAAACTTGGGCATTATATATAACTTTTTATAATTTTGAAACTCGAGCATTATATATCACTTTTTATAATTTTGAAACTTGGGCATTATATATCACTTTTTATAATTTTGAAACTCGGGCATTGCCATCTTTTCATAGAGTGTCACTTGTAATTACACTTTAAAAGATGTAAGTAGTAGAAATTCGAGTTTGAGCGAGTTATTATCACTATTATTAGTCACAAATTGTGAATATTATTTTCTTATTGTTGTTTAGTTGAGACCCAGACTGGAAAAGATGGTAAGGTGACAGTGCTGACCCGAACCTTTAGTCCAGCTGATATGACCGTTGACCTGGTGGTTAATAGTGTCAAAGCAAAATCTGTCTTCAAACGGGTTTAACGTTTTTAGATTTCAGTGTTAAATAGTATGATAAATTCAGTATTATAATAAATTACCCAACTAAAAATGTTAATTTAAATATCGTGTGATGTCATTTCTAAACGCTTCCAAAATATATGATATCTAATATCCATATACTTATAAAGTAGTAATCTTTGTTTGAGTGTCTGTTTGTTTCTTTCATTTAATGTCTGATAATTACAAAAGTTGAGAAAGCTAGTAGCTTTTATTTCCAAGCTCATCTATATAATAAAACAAGACATTCTTATATATTAATATTGCGCAGCCGACTGGACTGATTGGGCTGACAATTTTTGTGGACACTCATGGGTCGAATTTTAGTGATNAACTTTGTTTTTTGCTTTTGCATAATTCTGTTCAGAAAATACCAAACTTGTTTTTTATTGGTTGTTTAAAAATTTAAAAATTTTTTTGCCATTATTTTTACAATCAAGCCTTTTCCATATTTTTTGTCAAATAAAAAAATCTACACAGCACAATTGTTAATGACAAGTTTATATATAAATGCACTTGTAGTCAAGTGAATATTTACTGGCGTACGTATTATATTAATTGATGGAAATTTCCTTACAATTCTTACTTTTCATTTTATCTTTAATCCTTTAAAGTTTGTATACAATATACATGGAACATTACATTAACAGCATTTACAATGAATGAGTATTTTGTTGTTAAATTGAGTGTCAGCGTAATTTAAAGTAACCCTCCATTTAAAGACGGACATACACTAAAACTTAAAATTATTTTAATGAGAAATGAGGCAGTGTCAAAATCCAGCTTTTAGTCTGAAGTAAAGGGCTTGTCTTAGTTAAAAAGGTGAAACAAATGACCAATACTTCAAAAAAACGTTATGGGACCCACCCTCCCACTATCGGAATTGGGTAAATGAAACCTCACTGAAAGTCACGTCAATGAAATTTCCAAACTTAAGATTTTTTTTTGGCTTTTCTTCCTATATTAAAAGATACATGTTTGATTAAAACTGTTCTTTTATTGTATGATGGTGATATTCGTTTTCCTCTCTGGAAATTTAATAATTTTCAATTTTTCTCTGTAAAGGTTTTATATAATTAAGATTAAGTTTGCTTTTTATATTTTCCATATTTTCATAAAAGCAAACTTACCATAATACATTTTTAAATTCTCTAAAATTTTAATGATTTTTGTAAAGATTTCTGAAAGTAGAAACGGATAACAATGCTGCCCAACCCTACCTGGAGGCTCAACAATCTCCTCTAAGTAGTTGTAATAAATCTAAACCAAAGATTAGAAAGACCTTGACTAGTTAGAGAGAGAGGGGCTCATCAATATAATTGAACTCCCATCGGTAACTTAGTAAGTTAGCATACAGGATTTATTTCTAATCAGCTTAATATGTATGTATGCGCTGAAAATATATTTGTTATAATAGGACCATCTCAATCAAAAATAGAAGCTTGGATTTCGAAATCATCAAGCATTAAAAACCAATTTTTCTTAAAAACGCAATCGCGAGCATTAAAAGAAGAAAAATATAAATTTTTCTGAGAAAGTAAAAAAAATTTAAATATTCAGTTATGACAAAACAGAAAAATGTAAGTGAAAGGATCGGGAAGGCGAATAAAATTATCGGAAGGATGGTAATTATGAGGAAATGGAAGGATGGCAGTGGTTATTTGGAAATGTAAGAATGGTAGTTGTTAGGAAGTAGGAGTAATAAAGGATGGTAGTGGTTAGGAAATAGATGATATTGAAGGATGGTAGTGGTTAGAAAATGGAAGAATGTAAGATTGGTAGTGGATGGGAAATGGAAGAATGAAAGGATGGTAGTGGTTAGGAATTGGAAGAATGTAAGGATGGTAGTGGTTAGGAAATGGAAGAATGAAATAATGGTAGTGGTTAGTAAATGGAAGAATGAAATAATGGTAATGGTTAGTAAATGGAAGAATGTAAGGATGGAAGTGGTTAGGAAATGGAATAATGAAAGAATGGTAGTGGTTAGGAAATGGAAGAATGTAAGGATGGTAGTGGTTAGGAAATGGAAGAATGAAAGGATGGTAGTGGTTAGGAAATGGAAGAATGTAAGGATGGTAGTGGTGGAAATGGAAGAATTAAAGGATGGTAGTGGTTAGGAAAAAGAAGGAATGGAAGGATGGTAGTGGTTAGGAAATGAAAAAAATGAATGGATCGGAAGGAGAACGGAAAAATTTGACCTGGAATGAAAGAAAGGGAGTGGTTTGGCAAAGAATGAAATTGTAAAAGGGAGGGCAGGGAAGACTGAAAAGGGATCAAGATATAAGAAAAGAAGAGGGGAATGATTCAAGGGGAGGAGAAAAGAGAGGGGAATTATTCAAGGGGAGGGGGAAAGGATAGGGGAATGATTCTAGGGGAGGGGAAAGGAGAGGGAAATTATTCAAGGGGAGGGGAAAGGAGAAGGGAAAGATTACAGGGGAGAAGAAAGGAGAAGAGAAATATTCAATGGGAGGGGAAAGGACAGTGGATAGTTTAAAGGGAGGGGAAAGAAGAGGAGAGAGATGCAAGGGGAGGGAAAATACATGGGGCAATTCAGGTTAAGAAGAAAAGAAAGGTTTTGGACAGATTATGACTCAACTAAGAAGAAGATAAACTATAAATAAAATATCCTGTATTGAGCTAGGACTGGAGAGTGCAGGGGGGTTCTGCAGATTACTGACAGTATGATTGTAGAACCCTGAGAGAGACTAGTAAACCAACCTCTAATCTTCCTGTCAAACTATATTGTTTCCTGGACCCCATATACAGATTCTTTGCTCAAATATATTCATCCAGAGTTGAAAAGTTTTGCTTGGGATAATTTACTGAACTTGATATCCACATCGAGTTCACAGAGAAATCAAATGACAATATACTTCAAACACTAAATTGACCCCACCTATCTTTAAACACACATTTTCTGGCTTCCTTTCTTTGCCTTTGGGGCAGCAATGAAGGAGAATTTTTGGGTTCGCGGAGCTGGGGTTAGTCAAAATCTTATCAAAGAAACATTGGATTGAAATAAAAAATCTAACATAAAATGTTAATCAGTAATGAATTCTTTAAATTCTTTACTGAATAAAAATATTTAAATCTTAGAAACTAAATCAATAATGAACTAAAAAACTTCTTCTTCTTCGGAATCAATTTTAACTATACAACACAAAACTACAAAAAATATATATTTTTTTATTATTTGTAATTTTATATTCTAATTGCGTTGTTTGGAGTTCATAAAACTTTTATTGAGGCAAAAAAAAGAAAATCGAAAAAAATTACTACTAACTTTAGAACGTACGTTTAAAACGTAAAATCATTGAGATTTTTGTGACATAACGCCAACTTTAAATGATAATATTAATAAAGAATACCGCATTTTTCCGAAAATACTAGGTGATTCTGCAATATGATACAAACTTTTTGGTGCCCAGTTTCTGTTTTTGACTGTAGGCCGGTTTCTTAGTCACCATAGTAATCTATTACAAAACACTGTAAAAAAGAACCTTTTGTTGTTTGTGTGTTTGCGCGACTAAGAAATCGGTCTAATCTCGTGAGAAACTGAAGTTAATCTGTTCCCTGTCTTGAAACTGATTGGTTCTTCAATACTGGGTTCTTGCTTCCCCACTGCTGCTCCCTGCTAAACCAAGCTCACTGGTAGATATGGGCATCGTTTTGTGGTTTAGTTTTGATCTTTTTAGGTTTTCTGAATTTTAGAGGGACTGTAAGCGTAATTTCGAGTAACCTTCAGTTCAACGAGGGGGTAAATTAGATTCACAGGAGTACCCTTCAAATTATTGACTTATTATCGAGGGCAGAGAACTTAGTGTGGAAATCTCTTAAATGTTGCGTAAAAGTTGAAATTTTATATTCTCATTTTGGATTTTTAAATCTCACTACCACCAATACCACAGTTTGAAAATAAAAGTTGAAATTTTTTATTTTGGATTTTGAAATCTCACTACCGCCAATACCAGAGTTTGAAAATAAAAGTTGAAATTTTNGGGTGCAATGGAGGCTTTAAAATAATTTTCTAATAGATTGATTTTGGATCTGTAGCTTAATTGTTTTGCTAACTTTTTCACAACTATAGTTTGAAAAGTTGAGTTGTTTGAGCATTCTAGAGTATGCCGTTTTTAAGCTAAAACGAAATAACACATGGATTGGGAACCCCCTCCCCAATCATGATAGGATTGAAATATATATTTAACTATTTGTTGTTGCTGTAGGAGTCTATAGGAACAAATAAACTTTTGGTAAATATTCTGCGATGGTTTAAACGAAAAAAAATATTTATTTGTATTTTCAGTGATTGATGGCAGTACCCTTTGAATCTCTATCTCATTAATTTATTTGTATTTTCAGTGATTGATGGCAGTACCCTTTGAATCTCTATCTCATTATAATGATAATATTTATCTCAAAATGTGTTGAATTCTGCATACTTCCTTCAGTGTATCCGCAGCATAAATCCGCAAGTCACTAAAAGTAAAAAAAATCACAATTGAAGAATATATCTTTAAACAGAAATTAAAAAATCCATTACTTAAGGCTCCAAACTAAAGAATTGTCCAAATGTCTGAGGCCAGCAAGATTTCAAATTTGGTTTCAGAGGCTTGAAATGAGAAAATTACACTTAAGTAAATAAATGTTTTGTGAAAAAGTAAAATAGACACATTAAATTTCTGAGATAGGGTGAGAGAAATGAGAGATTCGAGAGAACAATTGAGAGAAAAACAGAGAAGAAAACCTGGTACTGGGTGCATTAGACTGGAATCCATCAGTAAAACAGGTTTTCTTCTTTCAATGTTCGTGAACGACCCATTTAATTTGTTTCGTTTGATCAAAAGATTGTTTGAACCATTTTAAATCGTTCTTTGTTTGGTTCGTTTCAAAAATTGATTGCTTTCTAAATTTCTCTAAACGATCCAAGCCGTTCCTCCATCATAAGTTTTTTTATCTGAACACCATCCTATCGTTTACAACAAATTTTATTTGTTAAGTAAAATTTAGTTTGTTCGCTAAAATGATGCCCATTTCTAGTTCTAGGGTTCTAGTGTACTAAGGTCT